ACATGCACAGACTTTTTAAACAACTACTCACGCAGCATTTTCGTTGAGTAAGGTACATAGTCTAGAGATGGTGTGTGCAGGAGGGCATGACAGGTTGCATGCAGTTCTAGCTCACAGAGGCCTGAGCAGCTGCAGGTTTTGGCGTTGATGGGTTGGTCCACAGATGCCAAGGTGTGTAAAGTATTTAATTCAGACATCAATTGCTTTTACTGCCTGTGTAACTGTAAGTGCATCTCAGTGTATAGGAGACAGGATGGAAATATACCTAAGTAGTTTCAGAAACAGAAGCAGAACAGAAATAGGAGCAGAACTGTTGACATGGTGGAAGGGAGCACTAGGGCCTCTTCCACAGCTAACAGTGGGCAGTTTTGAGTTAGAAACTTTCCCTGGCTCTCAGCATCCGGAACACTCAAGTCTTGTGAATGAAGACTAGTTACAGCTGCTGTGTCCAGCACAAAGCCATCAATGCTGGTTTAGGGGTGGCACGAACAAGGTCCCCACAGGACAAAGCTGGCACGTTTCATTGAAGAGGCTTGATAATGGTATTACTGCTGGGCATAGTGACACAACCGTGTTATCCCAGAACTTGAAAGGCTGGGGCAGGAGGACGGCTGTGTTCAAGGCCAGCACGGGCTATAGAAACCCTGTCTCAAACAAAACAAAACAGCATCTGTTTATGCTGACAGTGAAATATCAAGCTCCTCGGCAGGACAGGGTATAGGGAGAGCAAGGCACCGTGGGGAGCCAGGCTTGCGGGGGAGGGATAAGGAGGCATTGCGACTAAGATGTGGACAGAACTATTGCTGGAGCAGGTCCCTCCCGGGAATGGCCATCCATGGAAGGGCACAGCCAGCCCAGCAGGTCCCTCCCGGGAATGGCCGTCCATGGAAGGGCACAGCCAGCCCAGCAGGTCCCTCCCGGGAATGGCCGTCCATGGAAGGGCACAGCCAGCCCAGCAGGTCCCTCCCGGGAATGGTCGTCCATGGAAGGGCACAGCCAGCTCAGCTCTCCCTGGGTCTGTCAAAGCACAGCACAAAGGCAGGTTCACAAGAAAAGGGAGCAGACCTGAAAGGCAGGAGGGAAATGTTTGGCACAGCATCTAATAAGCCCACCAATATTATGTTGCAGTCATAACAGAACACAGAGGCCTTTCAGATCCTGGGGGAAGGGGATCAGGAGATGCCTTGATGGGAGAGCACTTGCCTAGCATGTACAAGGTCCTGGGTTAGATCCTAGCAACACACATGGGGGCGGGGGGTGGAGGGGACGTCCCAAATCCTACCTTGGCACAGTAAGGTATCTAATGTGCACTAATTAGGTAAGAAAAGGAACTATAAATCAGTAACCATGTTAAGACCTCAGATTTGGCTGTCACTAATACTGCATAGCTAATACTGACATAGATTAGCTCTGTGGAGTGCGGGCAGTCTTCCCTGCTCTGTGCTGGTATCTGAAGCTTCTTTTATGCACAGCTTTCAATTTACCATCTCCTGAGTCCCAGGAGTCAAGACAACAAAGTGCTCTGACTTGATCACTGTCTGCTGGAGCTTGGCCCTCTGAGGAGAGGGAGCGCTTTACTAGGCAAACTCCCTTCTGTGTTAGCAAAACTCTAAACAGGACATAAGGAGAATGCTAATGGTGCTTAATGGACGCTGTCTTGGAGCTCGACCTTCACCAGGCCAGGGCTCGAAGTCTCTTAGCCAGGGTAGTTCAAGGGCTGCCTTGCCCAGCAGTAAGCAGCAAGACCCCTACCCTATCAGCTCCATACACTCCCCAGCTAGAGCACCCAGCTAACAGCCAACCTGCTGGTGCTGCTGCTGTGTGGTAAACCCAAGAGGGCCAAGCTAGCACACTCCCACTCTTGTTCCTCTATTCTCTTAGAAGAAAAGGCTCATTAGCTTCTCAAACACGAACAGGGGCACCTGTCCGGCTCTCTCAGGCTGGCGGGTCCTCTCTCTCTGAGGTGGGGCAGAGTCATGCTGGAGGACACTTGGCTGCCACCCGAGGACCAGCCAGAGTGCTGCCTTTCCTAACGTCAGAAGACACTCTAGGTTCAGTTCCCTTATCCAAAGCTCCAGGCACAGTGATAATATTAGTATCTGCCATGTAGCCACAACCTTATACATACCAGGAACTGTGCTAAGCACTTAAACACATCCCTACTTGGTAAAGCACTGGAACAGATCCAATGGGTCTGTTTCACGAATAAGGACACTAACCAAGGCTGAGTGAGCCCATCCATGCAATGTGGACTCTACATGGCACTGGCTTTAGAGCTAGATCTGCTGAGGCACAAAGCCATCTCCCTCTGCACCACCTTCTAGAAGCATTTGCCACTCACCAAAACTCCACCTGTGCTGGGATCACAACTGCCTTTTTTTCTCCCTCCCAGGTCTCAGTGAGGAGCTGCAGTGTGCTCGGTCTCCTTCAGAGCAGCTTCTCCTGCCGACTGAGGACCAAAGGTCCACAAATTAAAAAGATCGGCAAGCTCAGGATATGGCAAAGCAGCCCTCAAGGCCCTGATCTGGATAAGGGTGGGGTACGGCCAGTACCCAAGGCCCTAGTCTTGGAAAGCTTGCCAAAACCCTAGGTTCAGGGCCAGTAACTGGAAGATACTTCTGAAATTTCTCTTCAGATAAAGGGATCCAAAAGGCCAAGCAAAGTACGACAGAAAGTAATGCTGAGGGGCTGGGGAAGCAGCTCAGAGGTAGGGTATTTGCCTGTCATGAGTCCCACCCCCGGCCTGCAAAAAGAACTGTTGCAGGGGCCCTGCTGATGTTGACTTGTGAGCAAAGATCAAACATGTCAGTTCTTTCCAATAACGGCTCAATCACCTCTAAGCTGTTTTTCAGATTTAAAATATAGCAGCACACCCTGGCATGGTGGTGGCTCATCTAAAATCCTAGACCTGGGAGAATGAGGCAAGAGGATTGCAAGTCTGAAGACAGCCTGGGCTACACAGCAAGACCAGCCAGCCAGCCAACCAAAAACTGCGTAAAACACAGCAGTGCTTCAGAAGCTTTAGGCACCGGCAGTTGAGGTCCAGAGTCGGGGTGCTGGCTCATGCCTGCAATCCTATCACTCAAGAGGCTATGGTAGGAGAATCCATGCCTGAGGCCAGTTTATGTCGCACAATGCAACCCTACCTTTAAAACTAAATAAAGACAGATAGACAAAGACCCATACTGGCCCAAGTCATCAACACCCCGCCTCCCCAGCAGCACCTCTGTACTTTCTACTTGCAAAGGGGGTGTGAGCACATGAACCTTGTCATATTAAAAGGCAAAGACTACCATGTATGGCTCTAAACAGCTGACTTCAATCACGCTAGCCTCTACCTTGGAGGCCATAAGATTGTCTGGCAACTCCAAACCTGAGCAGAGTGTTGAGTATGCCAGGAAGACTGCCCAGCACCATGGATGCCTCCGAGGGCAGGCCCAGAAGGGCTCTGAAAAGGAGCCGAGTCACCTTCCGATGCACCTGCCTTCATGCAGTTCCCATCTCCTGCCCTCACCTTCAAGGCCCTCTCCAAATCTGGTCCCCACCAAGCTCACTCTCCATCCTGCCCCCTTACTCTCTGCTATGCGCACTGAGAAAACACAGGAACCAAATGCCCCATCTTTCCCAGCCCCATCCCTCTGCCACGCTGTCTCTTCATTGTGTCAGTCTCATTCTGTCTTGAAGACAGCAGAAGATAGTCCCTTAACTCCACGTCTAATTTCACTTCATGGTCTTTCTGAAAGCCCTCCCCCACCCTCTCACCTGTGTGCCTCCTGTCTGCACCCTTCCTGCTCTTGACTGTCTCAGAGCACACTGTGAGTGTATCCATCCTACTCCTGTGTTAGCCTACAGATGGCCGTAAGTTAGTACAACTATTCTGAGAGGCGTACTCTGGAGTGTCCTCACACGGGAATCTCAGGAGTAACCTCACACAGTGATCTTCCCCTAGTGCTGGGCATCCCTCTAGTACAGGTCCACCAAGACTTGGCTAAGCTATGAGGAATCTCTTGCATGATGATTTGTGTATCGGACTAAACAGAGTCCTGTCCGGTCTTATCTGGAGGTGGGGGGCTGGAAGAGCTGCTCCGCCCCGTCCCACACTGGAATGGGATTGGCTTTGGTTTACATAACTTTGGGCTGGGCTTTGTTGCGACTACAGAATGTTCAAATGCCAAAGGCAGCTGTGCTGTCCCCTCCTCTTGGAGAGCTAAATGCATCCCTGGATTGCTCCTGGGAGACAGACGAGTCCACTTCAAAAGCAGCACCCTCCCAGCAAGCAGCTAAAGGAGGGCACTTTAGCACACCAGGGGTGTTTACCAATCTTTCAGAATACATTCTTCTACCCAGTAAGACATGCTTCAGGTCAGTGAGAACTATTCTGGTACATCTTTCAGTAACAATGGTTAAAAAGGACCCTAGGTCTCACCCCAAAATGCTTTCAGCTCACCACTCTGATTCTGGAACCACCAAAGCCTCGGCCTCGCCAAGGCAAGAACGTGGGATGGGCTGCAGGCCTCTGCTGGGAGAAGCCTCTGGCCCTCCTAAGAACACAGCAAGGATGGTACCCACAATTTGGGACCCTCTCGGCAGCTTCTTCCCAAGCTTCCCACACCCTGACCTCACCTGCAGCCCCTGCTAAGCCTGGTCTTCCCTCTGTGTCCCTAAGGACTTGCAGGAACTACTGTGGCTCTTGCAAAGCAACTTCAGAGAGCGAGATCCTCCACAGGGCGGATGGCCTCCAAATGTTTTCAAACACATGTCATTTCTAGGAACTGTCCCTCCCTCAGCCCTGCTCTGCTGGGCTTCCACCCTCAGGTTTAACCATTCGGGGACCTGGACTCCCCAGGCCTTGCCATCCTCAGAAACATGCTGGGTACAATGTGCAGGAATCAGGCAGCCCTGGCTCAGATCCTGGTTCTAGGAGCCAGCACATGGGGAGTTGGGGTGGGCTGCAGCCAGGCTGGCCAGCCCAACTCTCTGTGACGTCACGTCAGTCTTACCTCATCCCACTCAGAGGTGAAGGACGGTGACTTCTCCAGCCTCTTCTTCCCGATGCTGCAGTTCGATAAGGACTCACTGCGGCTCCCCATGGTGGCGTCCTCCGTAGGGGAGCAGGTCAGGAGATCAGAGTCAGACTTGGACAAACTGCGGCTGAGTTTGAGCTCAGCTTTGGGCTTGCTGGTGGGAGGGGCTCGGCTTCTGGCCCCACTCCTGTCTCCTTCTTCCTCAGTACCAGCAGGGTGCGGAGGTGCTGTGTGCGTCAAAGTCTCGAGGTATGCTCGGCTGGTGGTGGGGGCAGCCAAGACTGTGGGGTAGCCCACTCTTTTGCTCTGGTCCAGGACACTGGGCTGTGGGGCTCCTGTGGTGTGTACACCCGGTTCCTCCAGCTGCATGCTGGCCTCCAGGCAGGCGCTCTGCTGAGGGGACTCGTCTGGATGGTTCTGGCCGGTGGCAGTGAGCAGCTGGAAAGGGTCCTGCCCCACCTCACACACCGGGGAGGAGCCGTGGAGGAGACCCGAGAACTGCTCTGGGACCTGCCCATCCTGCCCCTCCACACAGTCCTGGCTCCGGCTGCTGGGGCTCTGCCTGTGGTCTTGGAATGGACGGAGAAAAATAAAAAATTAAACGTGGCAAAAATCAACAAAGTTCCAATGTAGCAAGCGGACGGCAGAGCAGAATTTAGAAACAGAGAGCAAGAGAGAGAAGTTGGACAGGCTGGGGAGCAGGGAGAGGGAGAGGAAGGAAGAAAACAGTTTCATATTGTTCTTCATGTTCAATTTGTACCCAAAGTTGGAGCATTTACAAAATTCCAAGCACTGGCCTGATTAGTGCTGCCTGGCAGTCATCCTTCTTGTTAGATCTCTGTTAACATTAACGACCAGACCTTGCTATATAAGGCGAGAAGTGCTAACTATATCCGACAGAAAGGACACAAGTAAGGACAGAATGAGGGAGCACAGAGCAAGAGTGTGCCAGTGAGTGAGCGCGAGGGACTCACTCCTGGAACATCTGATACATTTCCATAAAGGCCGCAGTGTTATTTAGAGCCACCGGCCCTCCCTTCCTCTGGCAAGCAGCAACAGAGGGAAGAGTGGAGGTCATGATCACAACCTGCAACTTCTGGAATTCCTTAACTGAAAGTGCAAAACAAAACAGTGAGGCAATAACTGCTTCCTTCCTCTAAGGGGGGGCTGTTCAGATCCACGCCTCATCCTCCTTCCACAGGACACAGTCTTTTGCTTTTTTGCGGGGGGGGGGGGGG